CTGAGAGAGCAAGTGTCTGAGAGTGCAAGTGTCTGAGAGTGCAAGTGTCTGAGAGTGTAAGTGTCTGAGAGTGCAAGTGTCTGAGAGTGTGTGTCTGAGAGTGTAAGTGTCTGAGAGTGCAAGTGTCTGAGAGCACAAGTGTCTGCACTGTCTGAGAGTGCAAGTGTCTGAGAGTGCAAGTGTCTGAGAGTGTAAGTGTCTGAGAGTGCAAGTGTCTGAGAGTGCAAGTGTCTGAGAGTGCAAGCGCCAGCTGCAGCCAGACCCTTTTGGCTAATGTCTGACAGAAAAGGATCCTCCCACTGTCTAGTGAAGCCACAATCTTACAGGAATGCCCACATGGAGGGCAAAATAAGGTTTCCCCTTGACTTTATGCAGTAAGTCAGGAAATGACTGCTCACTGTGTGACATGATGTGAAAGTTGTTGGTTCTTCTGACACTGTGTGGGCAGATCTGGGGCAAGTTCAAGCTCAAACCAATGTGTACTGTTTTGCAGCGGTTTCCGGTTTGAACGACATGTTTCCTGGAAATGGTGTGCAACGGGGTTTGAGATGCGTTTTCTCTTGTTTGGTGGGTGTGTCAAACATGTCAGCCCAGTCAGCAGCAACATGTATATAAACCACGCGGTATTAAAGAGACAGCTCACACAATGTAATTAACATCCAAATAACTTCACAAGAGCGAGTATATTGTTTGCACATGTTTATTTACATTAAAGGCAAAATAACTGAAATAACAAGAGCACATGTATAGATCTGGAACTTCTTTAAGTCTGTCTAAATATCATTTAGTAATTCCAATGTCTTCTGGTCCATATCCTTTCCTTAGGAAGGTGTGGTAGACACGGATTAATGTAACATAAAAATACTATACATATTTATATATTTTGCTATTGTATTATGGAGGGACACTTTCATAAACTTTTCTATACCCCTCTGATTATATAATGGTAAATATTACAATATCATAGCACAACAACAGTGATCAACAATAATGATAAGCCTATACTCACAATAAAAATAATAAGGTCATATAGATCATAACACAGTCTCGGAGGTAAGAAGTGGGTTATCCTTCACCTGAAATGTTTGTTTTTTCATCCTGAAATACGAGGCAAATGTTGGATCACAATAATTAGGAACCACAGTTTCCACAAACCCCTTCACTGGATTGGGATGTTCTCTTTTCTTCTGGACAGCAAGGGCAGTGACTGTAACATCGAGTGTATTTTGCAGTATTAAACACATATTTATACAGATTTCATCAGGCTCTGAGAATTCTTCAAAAAGAACACAAAGAATGGCCTTCTCAGCCGCCATAGCTGCAACTCTTGCGTCATCAGAACAGTGTTCAACGCACCACCGTTTACGTTTAAAACACGTTTTGCACCGTTTTTGTCGAGGCTGAACGCAGCCCTGATTATTGAAGAACGACACACATACGGTGTAGCCTACAAGATATCTATTTATATATATAATAAACGCTTTGTGGTTATTGATTGTATTTATTTACGTAGGCAGGCATCAATTCATGTTATTGAATAATACATTGAGAATTGTATTCAAGTATTTTGCATAGCTTTATATGTTTTGTTTTGTTGTTAATTCATTTATTTATTTATTTTTTTCTTGGTTTTTCTCCTTGGTTGATATGTCATTGTTTTGGTATTATTATTATTATCATGATAATATTGTATGGTCATGTGACCTTTGATCACCTGGAGGTAGGCCTATAAAGATTGTTGCATCAGTGTTGTTCATTTGTCTGATGAAGAGCCTGAGTGCTCGAAACCTCACATATGCTATGCGAATCAAATAAAGTTTTTGATACTTTTGGAGCTTTGTTGTTGCCGACTTTACATTTAAAAAAATGTCCACTTGTTTCTTACTCGAGCACCCAGTTGAGCTCGATGTGCGTGCTTTTGCCTGTTCTTTAGCGAGATTCAAGCAAAATCAAAACTGAAAGTGTCACACACACAGGTGAGCTCATGGAAATCATGGTCATTATTGTCCATACTGGTTATTAGCAGAACAGATTTTTATTTAATTATTCGCATATGAATTCAATATTTAACTCCAGCACAATTACTTTATTGTGAAGGAAACTCCTGTTTCCCTGACAGCTCCATGATCACGTGAATCTGATCTCAGATCAGCTGTTAGCTGCACGGGTCACGTGACTGATGTGAAACAGGAACACAGGAGAATTTTGTCATTCACTTCAGTGTTCAGAGTTTAAAACATCTCGATGTTTGTATTTTGTAATCAATGTAATCCAAAAATAAAGCACTGAATAATAGTCTCTATATCAGCTCAAGTGTTGCTTCACTTTGATTTACTGCGTCAAATCTCTCTGTGCAAATATCTATTAAACATCCTCATGATTTTCTCGTGTAGTTTTAATACTGGATGTGGTTTATTAGCTTGCAAGACATTTAACAACAGTAGCTTTGTGAGTCCGATGTAAATATTCCAGGTTTCATACAACATACTGTAAGCTCTATGAACAGCATCCGGGACTTGCTTTTGATCAATTATTAATGTTCATCATATTACATAAAAAGCACTTTACAAAAACATACAAACACAAATCATGTCTCTTCTTGGTTTGCATGTCGTAACATGAGTTGAAATAGTGTATGTAACGTTACACAGAGCACAGTTATACATCAGTCTCATATTAACACATGTAATGTTTAAGTGTTCTGGCTAAACTTTCAGAACAATTCATGTTTTCTGGTGTTGATTTTTCTTAAACTGAAGGAAGAGGTAACGTGAGACAGGAAGTCACAGTTACTTTGTCTTTCAGCACATCAGTGATGAAGGAAAGATTCTCAACACTTTTAAAGCAGGTAAAGTCATTTATTAAGATATGTTTAAACATACAGAAAGTAGAACAGAATGACATACTGTACAGAAAATCTTAATTTTCCTCTTATACCCTGAACAAAGCAATGTTAAACATGAGAGAAATACAACTCTAAGAAAAGAAAAAGACAGTAAACCTGAAATTAAACTAAATATATATCTAAAAACATTTATTAATGCACCAGAGACTGTAGTCAGTATCATACTGTAATGATGAAGAACAGTGTCTCATGTTTAATTCACAAACATCTTTTTAAAGAGATCTGCGGATGCCACCGATCTTGATTTGCAATATTCCTTCAATGGAGTCACAAACAGAGAGACAGAAATCATAATCACAGCCAGAATCACCAAACACACTCCAACTGGCACAATCCAGTTCTCTACAGATGGAAGGGGAAATGTGGGAAGAGTACAATTGTTTAAAAATATTTTTTCATTATTAAACTCACCGCTTGAGGATTTTGTAAAGCTTGTTTTACTTACTGTGTTGTTCAGTGCCATTAGTTTTGTCTTCATCATTCTCCAGTTTGTCCTTTGATTCTGTACCTGATTCTAGAGGATATTGAGAGGTCAGTCTCACAGTTCAGCATCAATGTGATGTTCAGATCATGATGAATAAACCTCAGCTGTCCAAATGCTTTATAAATAATATTTCCACAAATCTGAGTTTCTCTCACCTGTGACTGTGACTGTGATCAAGATGTTTCTTTCATAGTCCAGAACTCTGTATGTTCCTGCATCTCTGTCCAGAAATGATTTAATGATCAGGTTCCCATCAGTAACATTCATTCGGTCACTCCAGACCCCGTGGCCTCTCTTCCAAACCTCCCTCCACTCTCCACTAGAGCTTTTCTCCACTTTATCAGCATTAGACAACAGAACAGACAACTTTAGCTCCTCGCCTGTTTTCACAGAAATCTCATCTGAGGAGAAACAGAGAGATATTAATTAATCAATCAAAGCCATAAACACATATTTATGATTGGGGACCAAATGTAATCATTTAAAAAAGCAGATGCTGATGTTTGATCAGTTATGAATTTACCATGAATATGAAGATGGTACGTCCTGATTTGTCGCTTCAGCTCTGTCTGATCATTAGTGTAATAGACATGCAAAATATATTTCCCAGCGTCACTGAAGCTCAGTTTCTTGATGACGACGTCACAGTTTCCTTCTTTAAACACTCGTCCACTACATTCTTCATCCTGACACACATCTATCTCTTCTGACTCACTGAATAACTCAATCTGAACAATATTATTGGCCTTAAATTCACATGTTAGTGTGATGTATCCTCCATTTTCTCCTCTCACAGATTTAGAGGTGTTTCCTGCAAATACAGACAATAAATATTCATTCAATAGAAAGTATCAATACTGAAAAATACATGTGTTTCTGTCTATTCTCAGTAATCGATGTTATAATAAAATATTCTAGGAGAGTTATTTTAGTCAGCTTTTGCTGAAGATATTTCTTCACACATCTAAGTGGATTCATCAGCTGTGAACTGATGGAGGAGTTTCTCTAATATTTAGCATCAGAAATGAATGTAAATATTAAGGATGCTCATTGCTCATCAGAGACATGATCTATTTTGTCTTTGTGCTCTTCATCTAAACACTTAACCTCAGGTTACTTCATTGTCTCTTCATGAAATAAAAGCATTAAATGCTCAATCTCAAGCACTAATGAAGTCAGCTTCTGCTCTTCAGTCTCAAATGTTATTGCAGGGAAAGGGGTAATTAGGGTCAGATGTAAACTAATGTAGTTTGATTTGTATTAGTTATCTATTTTAGCTTTAGTTACAGTTGTAGATGTTGTCATTTTATTCGGTTTTTAATATGTCTACATAGGTTTTTTATTAAGTTTTATTTAATTTGAGTGATTTCAGTACTTCAACATACAAAATGGAAATTAAATAATATATATTTACATTTACATTTAGTCATTTTGCAGACGCTTTTATCCAAAGCGACTTACAATTGGGGAATACATAAAGCGATTCTTCTTAAAGAGGCAAACAGACACAAGAAGTGCTCGTAATACCAAGTTTCTAGACATCGTTCAAATAAGTACAAGCTAGAAAGAGACGGAATAAATAAAGAAAAAAAAGAAAATTTTATGATGATGATGATGATGATGATGATGAAGTCAAGTAGCTTCGAAAGAGATGAGTTTTCAGCTGTCGCTTGAAAATTGTCAGGGATTCAGCATTCCGGATAGGGGTGGGAAGATCGTTCCACCAGCCAGGAGTGGTGAACGAGAATGTTCTGGAAAGTGATTTTGAGCCTCTCTGTGATGTTAGCACGAGGCGTCGCTCACCAGCAGATCTCAGACTTCTGAAGGGGATGTAGATTCGTAGTAGTGAGTGGAAGTAGGCGGGTGCTGAGCCTGTGGCTGTTCTATATGCAAGCATCAATGTCTTGAACTCGATGCGAGCCGCGACCGGTAGCCAGTGCAAGGAGATAAAGAGAGGTGTAACATGGGCTGTTTTGGGCTCGTTGAAGACCAGTCGTGCCGCTGCATTCTGAATCATTTGTAGAGGTTTGATTGTGCTTGATGGGAGTCCAGCCAGAAGAGCATTGCAGTAGTCCAGCCTAGAGATGACAAGGGCCTGGACAAGAAGTTGTGCAGCATGCTCCGTTAGAAAGGGCCTGATCTTTCTGATGGTGTGCAATGCAAACCTGCAAGATCGGGCAGTCTTTGCAATGTGGTCTTTGAAGGTCAGCTGGTCATCAAAGGTTACACCAAGATTTCAAGATTTGGGAAGTCGTGGCCTAATGGTTAGAGACTCGGACTTGTAACCCAAAGGTTGTGTGTTCGAGTCTCGTACCGGCAGGGATTGTAGGTGGGGGGGAGTGAATGTACAGCACTCTCTTCCACTTTCAATACCATGATTGAGGGGCCCTTGAGCAAGGCACCGAACCCCCAACTGCTCCCCGGGCACCGCAGCATAAATGGCTGCCCACTGCTCCGGGTGTGTGTTCACGGTGTGTGTGTGCACTTAGGATGGGATAAATGCAGAGCACTAATTCCGAGTCATGTCATGACATGTCACGTCACTTTCTGACCGAAGTTGATGGGGTAATTGTAGAAGAACCTAGCTGGATGGAGAAATCATACTGTAGAGTTGGAGTGGCAGGTGTGGGTTATTGATGTGTAACCACAGGCTGCCACAGGCTGCGAGAGCGACACGGATGGACCAGCGAGTGGTATAACGTGACATGTAAGGTTGTCTTGAGGTTTTTCAGTAAAGCACGTAAATACAGTTTGAATCCAGAGTCTTTATTTACAAGGCACAACAGCAGGGAAGACAAGAAGCTCAGTCTTTGCCAGGTTGATCTGTAGGTGATATTCTTTCATCCATGCCGAGATGTCTGCCAGGCAGCCTGAGATCCGTGCAGCTACCGTTGGATCATCTGGTTGAAATGAAAGATAGAGCTGTGTGTCATCAGCATAGCATTGGTAGGAGAAGCCATGTGCCTGTATGATGGGACCCAGTGATTTTGTGTATATGGAGAAGAGGAGGGGTCCAAGAACTGAGCCCTGAGGAACCCCAGTGACAAGTTGATGTGCTTTGGATACCTCCCCTCCCCAAGCCCCCCTGAAAGACCTACCAGTGAGATAGGATTCAAACCAGCGAAGATGAATCCCTGTGATGCCCAGTGATGAGAGGGCAGACAGGAGGATCTGATGATTGACATTGTCAAAAGCAGCAGATAGATCCAGCAAAATAAGAACTGATGATTTGGAATCAGCTTTTGCAATCCGCAAGGCTTCCGTGACTGAGAGTAGCGCAGTCTCAGTTGAATGGCCACTCCTGAAACCTGACTGGTTAGCATCCAGTTTGTTGTTCTGTGAAAGAAACAATGATATCTGGTTGAAAACAACTCTTTCGAGGGTTTTCGCTATGAATGGAAGGAGAGAGACAGGTCTGTAGCTATCTGTAAGTGAAGTGTTTAATGTAGGTTTTTTGAGCAGTGGGGTTATCCGAGCCTGCTTGAATGCAGTGGGGAAGGTGCCTGTGAGGAGAGATGTATTGATGATATGTGTGAGTGCTGGTAAAAGTGTAGGAGAGATTGCTTGGAGGAGGTGCGAGGGGATTGGATCTAGAGGGTATGTTGTAGAATGGCTGGAGAGGAGAAGTGTTGATACTTCTGACTCAGTGAGGGGACAGAAGGAGAAGATGGGAGTTTTAGCAGTGGGTGGGGTTGGTTTGAAGTCCTGTGTGTGTGGGGCTGAGAATTGACTACTGATTGTTCTGGTTTTGACTGTGAAGAATGTGGCGAAATCATCAGCTGTTATAGAAGTGGTGGAGGGGGACAGAGGAGAGAATTGAAAGTTTTGAAGAGATTACGTGTGTCTGGAGCGCTGTTGATCTTATTGTGGAAGTATGAAGATTTGGCAGTATGGACTTCAGCAGAGAAAGATGAAAGCAAAGACTGATACATACTCCGGTCTGACGGATCTTTAGATTTGCACCATTTTCTCTCTGCTGCCCTGAGTTTGGTCTGATGCTTACGAAGAACATCGGATAACCAGGGGTTAGAAGGGGCAGCCCGTGCTAGCCTAGAGGAGAGAGGACAAATATCATCTAGACAAGAGGTTAAAGTAGAGCATAAAGTGTCAGTTGCTGCATTCACATCCAGAGATGAGAAATGGGTAGGTGAGGGAAGAGAGGATATATATATTGAATGCATTTATATACATGTATATGTGTGTGTGGCTGTACATACATATGTAGTTGTTTTTTGGTGTTTGGCTTAGTGTTATGTTAGAATCATTATTATTCTCATACCTTTTGTTCTTTGAACATTTTGAATGTTTTTTAGGTTTTTTTTTTTCATTTAAATGTTTAGTTTTGAAATGTTGTTGTATGCATTTGTCATTTTTATTTAATTTATTTTATTATCTTAAATGTGTGTATATATATAGTATTTAAAGAGTTTTAGCTTGTAGTTTTAATTACTTTTTCTTATTTGTAAGTCGCTTTGGATAAAAGCGTCTGCTAAATGACTAAAAGTAAAGTAAAAGATGTTATAGGTCGTTAAGGAAGCGTGAGGAACCACATCAGCTCGAGGTAACTTAAATACATACAGGATTTAGTTCATGTTGAATAGTACCTTTTTGATAATAAAATGGTTTTCAACGTAGCCTATTAGTTATCTCACAGTCCATAGCAACAGTAATTGAATAATTTAGTAAGGAAGCACCTTCGGCAGTTAGGATTAAAACAAAAAAGAATGGGATTCAAAATGCTTTTCTGTGCTTAATGACATTATTTATGTAGTAATGGTCATTTTAACCTCTGAGCAGTGTTCAGGGTATTTCAGGACCTCAAATGACATTTGCTTGGGAAAAAAAAGGTGTTCCCTTCATCTAAATGACATGACACTTGATGACTTTTTTTACACTTGCTACACACAAAAAAACTGAAATTGGAATGTCTGATTGTACATTAGTGTGATAAAGTCACTCAGGATGTTCATCTAGTCAGTGTCTTTAGTTGAAATTCCACGTTATTTTAATTTTAAAGGTGTTTTCCAGTAGATGACAGTAATCTTTCACTAAACTATGGAAGACATTTTTCATATCACCATGAATGAAACCAAGAAATGTAGATATTCTTTTAAGTCAACTGTACATATTTATTTTGTTTAAACATTTATTTCATGTAAACATGTAATACTTTTTTCTTTTTTTCAAAAATTGAGGCAAAAGAAGTTTAAACAAAAATACCATACCAACTGTATAGTAAAAACATTAAAGTGACTGATATAACAATTCATGATTGTTATAAAATCATATTTTACTAAACAACCACAGTGTATACTCTAACTGAACAGCTCACAATGGTGTAACGAATCAGCTCATGACAGGAAATATGAATAATTAACCATAACTAGTTATGATTAATTATGAATATTTTAGATCCGCTGTAGATATTTAGCTGACCTCTCAGGGTCAACTGTCTTGTCAATTCTAAGAACGTTAATTTCCTGGTTAAGGGAAATAACTTTCTTACTGTACAATTCTACAAAAGCTTGTAGCGTAAATCTGCATGATTAGTGACTCCGGTTATGAGCAAACAATGAACACGTCAAGTGTGATACAAGTAAGGTTTTATTAACTACATAAACACTTAAACTAGTCTAACATACTACATAAACACATAAACTGGTCTAACATCCTACATAAACACATAAACTGGTCTAACATCCTACATAAACACATAAACTGGTCTAACATCCTACATAAACACATAAACTGGTCTAACATCCTACATAAACACATAAACTGGTCTAACATCCTACATAAACACATAAACTGGTCTAACATCCTACATAAACACATAAACTGGTCTAACATCCTACATAAACACATAAACTGGTCTAACATACACATACACACACACACACACACACACATACAGTTGGTATAGGAAAGGGTTAAAGTTTAACTCAGTACAGAAAGAGGCATAAAGAATGAATTTTTATGGAACACTTTGCATCTTAAGCAGATCTAAACCTGAGGGATACGTCAGATCCTTAGTTCAAACTTAATTTGATACTTAATGCATCAATTAATAAGACTAAGTTTGATACTTGCGAGTCTCGGCGGTCTGAAAGAGATTCCTGATGCAATCTTAAGGCCCAAGATCTTGCTGAAATTAGTTGATGAAAAGAACCAGTTTGAGTCAGAGAATCTTTGGTGAATGGAAAAGTCAAGGCCGAAAGCCCTGGCACCATGCTTATGGTATCCTGCAGCGTTTTATCACATCTTCATCTGCATCTGACCGAACCACCAACTGGGCGGGTCACATGGTGTGTCAGCTTTAAGGTCAGAGAAGATCCCCGCCTCTCAAGATGGGCTTATCCAATGAGAAAGGCCGGAATCCCAAGTGGGCGTTTTTGAGATCCTGGGGAGTTTATGACTCTTTGTGTGGAAACATGGAACTTAGTATCTGGAACTTGAATCGACAATACTAAAGATTCTCAGGACACTAATATATTGCCTATGTACCAACATATAATATGCACGCTTGTTTTGATCATAAGAAGGCAAATTCATAGATACTAAACAAGGTAAGATTACATATAGTGAAAAGGGATGATCAGGAATGGGTTCCCTCACAAGCATACTAAAATAGTCTAAAAATATCAAAGACAAAATACACGATGACAATAATATACCCAATGACCTGAAGGATATGTGTGTTCATTCAAAGAAAGGTTTTCCTATTAATTAATTAGTAGAAAAGTCCATTTCTGCTCTGCCTCTCCTATGGGGACAAAGAGTGGGTTATCCTACTCACATTCCTGGGGGGGTCATAAAACCAGTGATATCATGATTAGTTGTCATGGTGACCAAGGGGGGGATGGTGTTCAGCAGAAATCCTGGCATCCAGTTTATTGAGTGAGGGGACTGTGACGATTTGTTAATCTACTGAATAATTGATTTGTTAAATCAAATAAAAATTAGTGTGTCAGATTGGTCGAGACGCTACAATGGTTAAATAAAGATGTGAAATATATATGTCTTTCTTTCACTTTCTTCAGATTACACTTGAAGCCAACACTCCACTTCAAGTGGCAGCATATACAATGCTCTTGTGCTTCTGGAATAAGTTTGTGCAACCATCTGGTTACTTTACCAGACAGCACATTTTAGTACAATTGGAACCAAAAATGTTCCAGCTGCCCTTGCATGCACAAGCAAACAGCAGGCCTGGCATAGGCTCCGAACCCAGGTAAATATAAATAAATAAAGACAGAAACCTCATTCGTCAGTTTTTAACAATTTTAATTTGCCAACCATTAACAAATAAAATTAATTTAAAATGCATAATGTGCAAATCAGAGTGCAATCTAGTGCAAGATATACATGTTTTGTCA